TCCACCTCAGCCCGGGCGAGCTCACCTACGCCGACCGGATGACGGCATCGTCGCGCCTCTTCAAGGCCATCGCCGGTCTCTTCAACACAAAGACGCCAGACTATCCGGAGTCGAACCGATCGCCGCTGCCGCTCCTCGGCGTCGAGCCGGAGCACATCGCCATCGGCTCGGGCGCCACGGGCATCCTCGACCAGCTCTTCTGGGCCCTCTGCGACCACGGCGACGGCGTCCTCCTCAGCACGCCCTACTACAACGCCTTTGACAACGACCTCACCTCGCGCGCCGGCGCCGTCATCGTGCCCGTCGCCGTGCCCGTCCCCAAGCCCAGGCACGGCGACGGCAAGAGCGAGAGCGAGAGCGAGAGCGGCAGCGTGCTCGACACGAGCGAAATGGTCGCCGCCGACACGGTGCGCCTCTACGAGGACGCGCTCCTCGATGCCCAGAGCCGCGGCACGAGGGTCAAGGTGCTCCTCTTCTGCAACCCGCACAACCCCAGCGGGGCCATTGCGCCGAGGCAGACCGTCGTCGGCCTCGCCCGGCTGGCGGCAAAGCACAAGCTCCACTTTGTCTGCGACGAGTGAGTACCGCGGGAGCCTGCTAGCCAGCCAGCCTCGCCGGCCCAAACGCAGCCACGCTTTTGCGCCGATCGTAGGCCATCTGACCGCGAGCGCCGAGGTCTCCTTTGCTCTTCTCCCCTCATCTCTCCTCCCCTGCCCGCTGCGTGCCCGCAACGCCAGGATCTACGCGAGGTCGTGCTTCGCGACGCCCCACACGCCCCATCCGCCCACGTTCCACTCGGTCCTCTCGATCGACGTGCGCGCCGAGGCCGGCTTGGACCCGGCCTACGTCCACGTCGTCACGTCGGCGAGCAAGGACTTCGGCATCAACGGCTTCCGCCTGGGCCTACTCGTCTCGCAGCACAACCGCGAGCTGCACCGCGCCATGACGGCCCTCGGCCTCCTCGCCCAGTCGGCCGCGCCCGCCGCCGCCCTGTGGCGCACCTGGCTCGAGGACCACGACTTCCTCGCGTGGTACCTCGAGGAGAACCGGCGGCGCATGGCCAAGGCCTACGCCTACGTCACCGACTGGCTCGAGCACTACGGCATCCCCTATGCCGACGCCAACAGCGGCCACTTCTTCCTCGCCGACTTTACCCGCTTCCTAGGCGGCGGCGGCGGCGGCGGCGGCGGCGGCGGCGACAGTGCGGGGCAGCCTGCCGCTGACCAGGCCAGCGAACGGGAGCAGCGGGACAGGGAGGGCGAGCTGGTGGGCCGGATGCTCAAGCAGCGCGTCTTTGTGGCGCCGGGAAGCCAATACCACCACCCGAGCCCGGGCTGGTTCCGGGTGACGTTCACCCAGGACCCGCGGGCGCTGCGGGCGGGCCTGCAGCGGCTGGCCCGGGTGTTTGGCCTCGACGATGGCTTCGAAGACGGGCGGGAGCTGCTAGACCTCGAGCACGGAGGCAAGCCCAGCCCGCTCGACGCGGACGCGCACAAGGTCAAGGACAAGGGAGTGAGTCCTGCGGCGTCTCGCCACCCAATCGTCGCCCGGGACGCGTGGGGCAACGACAAGGACGGGATGATGCCGCTCCCCGCCGCCAACTCACCCTCGTCGTCGGACGCCCCGCTACACGTTCCCAGGTCCTTGACGAGTGCAACTAGCGCCGCGCCCGGAGATCTGTGGTGAGTGGCCTGCTGCCCGCCCACCCGCCTCCTTCTGCTCGGTCGCACCACATGGCAGCGGAGTCGAGTCGAGTCGGGTCGACGCTGAACCTTGCTGGCCGTGCGCGGTGCCGTGTCGGAACTCGCAGCGTCACGCTGCTGGGCGTGGCGGCCTTCTTTGCCCCCTTCTTCCTCATCGACAGCAGCATGCCGCTCGCGGCCGGTACGGGCACGTTCGGCCTCGTGGCCACCTGGGCCTGTGGCCTCCTCGTCCTGAAGAGGAGGAACAGGGCCAAGGCACACGCTTCGCAGCTCAGCAGCGTGCGCAGCGATCTGGCAGAGGCGTAGACGTAGACGTAGATGGTTTTCCTCCTTTTTTTGTCCAGCCCTCTGGAATCGTCTCGACACAGAAGGAATCTATCAGTACTCAAGGGGTGCTAGGGCCTGACGACCAGCTTACCGAGGTCACCTCCTGCCTGCCCGTCGTCGTCGTCGTCGTCGTCGTCGGCCTCGACGGTCTGACCCGCATACTCGTCGTGCCCCTCCTGCGCTCCTCTCCCGCCACCGCCACCGCCACCGCCACCGCCTGCGCCGGCGCCTCGAACCGCGAGCGACTCGACGTCGACAAAGTCGACGTCTCCGCGTGCGGCCCTGCGCAGCTCGTCGCGCTGCTTGAGCTCCTCCTCGTCGCGCTTGGTCTTTTCGAGAAAGACGACCGACTGGAGAAGGATGAGGCCGTCGATGCTCAGCTGGAACAGGGCGCAGACGGTGAACTGGAGCGGCGAGGAGCGCAAAAGGAAGTAGACCAGCTGTGGGGGCAGGGCGGCGCAAACGGTGGAGGCAAGACGCGGCGATGGACCGGGACGAGTCAGCGATGCAGCAGCTCCGGCGGCTGTGACGACGACTCCCGCTCACCTTGAAGGAATCGCCGCCGAGCCAGCCGACGAGGACCGAGGTGCGGAAGCCGGCGAGCGAGCGTCGTTTCTGGTTGCTGCGCCGTGCCGACGTCGGTGGGCAGGAATCGATGCGGTGCGATGCGGTCCGGATCGGATCGGATCAGAATCACAACCTGCTCGACCGAACACTTTGCTGCAACGGCTAGACGGTCCTCTCGACTCACGCGATAAGCTGCGGGATGGGCAGGGTGCTCTCCAGGCCGAGGGCGATGAATCCCAGCGTCGCGACATAGCCCTTCATCCAGCCCAGCGCCACCTGGAGAATGGCCAGGAGGATCGTCAGGAGGGAAAGGAAGAGGAGGTAGCTGTTTGTTCGTTTGTGCGAGCGCACGTCGCCGTCGAGTGGGTCAGCTGCTGCGAGGAGCCCGCATTGAGGACGAGGGAGGGCAACAAGGCGAGGGGGGACTCACGATCCATAGTCTTCCCACTGCCAGAAGTTGAGTGGCCGTCCGCGACCCGCCGCCGACCTTTTCCTGGTGGCCTGTCCCGACGCGCTCGATGCCGAACCATCCACCTGGACATCGCGTCCAGGTTCCGCGCGGTGGTTCTCTGACGAGATGGCATCCTCGTTGCTGCCCGACACGACGCCGTAGCGGGACGTCGACCTTCCGAGCAGCGGCACGTTCCAACCGCCGAGCCCCAAGGAAGCCAGCAGCGGTTTCTTGTCCGGGTAGGAGATGCCGTCGTCGTCTTCGTCTTCATCGCCGTCTTCGTTACGGCTGGCCGACTGCTGCTGGCCTGCCGGTCTCGACGCGGGCGTGGGTGTGGTGAAGGCGAGCGGGTCGTCGGTCGAGTCCTCGTCGACCGAGGTGCGGGACTGGAAGATGACGCGGGAACCCGAAGACGACAGCGAGCGCGACGAAGCGGTGATGGGCTTGAAGCGGAGGCAGAGGTAGAGGAGGCCGAGCTGGGATGCGATCATCAGGATGCTGCGAAAGATGGGGAGGGGGGATATGGGGCGGAGGTCAGCGTGATGGCCGAGCCCGTGCGACACGCCGGAGAGGGAGACAACGCGCACCTCTGCAGCAAGAGCGCTTTGGAAAGAGGTCAACGTGCGGTGCGAATGGGGATGAGAACGTCAGCAGCAGCAGGATGGGAGGTCAACGTGCGGTGCGAATGGGGATTAGAACGTCAGCAGCAGCATGATGGGTGGCATGCCTGACCTGGAACACACAGGCGGCGACTCACCGAACTCAAAGTGCTCTCCGAGCCAGAAGAAGCACCGGGTGATGTTGGCGATGAGCAGGACGGCGCACACGTCTGAGCAGTCAGGCGGGCAAAGCGAGGGGCGTGCAGGCGACGCGGATGGTTCAGCTGGCTGGGGCGGGGTAGGCAAGGCCAGGGCAAGAGGCGGGATGCGACTGCGATGCGATGCGTTGGTCGGAGGCGTCACGCACCGTGGCTGAAGCCGGTTGCGTCCTGCTTTCTGTATATCGAGTAGGCCTGGTCGGCATAGACGAGAGGCGCACCGACGGCTTTGGTTGGCGGCGGCGGCGGAATGAGAGGGAGGGAGGGCCAGCGACCGGAGATGCAAGAGAGGGGGGAGGGCGAGTGGTTAGTGCGACGTCGGGCGTCAGGTGGAGAACGTCTGAATGGTGACCGACGCACCCATGCCGAGGGATGCCAGCGTAGACAGGCTCATGGCGAGTGCTGTGTCGGATGGGCGGTACTCCAGGGTTGACGCGGCTACGAGGTGAGGATGGTGTCGAGACGCCGACAGCCTCGGTGACGGAAAAGCACCGACGAGGCGGGCGAGTGATGCCAGAGGTGGCCCACGCTCAGCCCGCCAGGCGCCGAGAGGCCAAGCAGTCAGGACAGCCCCAGGCCAGGCCAGGCCGAGGGCAAGGGCGCCAGACGGCCGAGTCCCGAGCCTTGGTCGCGGGCAGGCCGACGGGCGCGGCTTGGTCAGCGCCAGGGCCCGCCTCTGCTCCACAAGGTCTTGTTGGTTGGGCTTGCCCCTCGCTCCCTCCTCACCACCACCATCATCATCGCCGCCGCCACCAACATCACCGGCCACACCACCACCACCACCACCAACACCGCGAACCACAATGGGCTCCTCGTCATCCAAGCCGGCGCGCAAGCTGGCAAAGGAAGCCACGCAGGCCGTCAGCCGCCAGTCGGAAGCCGCCGGCGCCCAGGCCGCATCCGCCGCCTCGGCCGCAGCCCGCGCAGCCCGACCTGCCCCGACAACCTCACCCTCATCCTCATCCTCGTCGACCTCCCAATCCGGCCAGTACGGCTCCGGCGCAGGGTCAAGTGCGACCAGGGGCGATCCCGGCACGGCACCTGCAACATCCAGTTACGACCCGCAGTACGCCCCCTCTCGCACCGACGCCACCCGCCAGCAGCAGGCGCAGGCTAGCGAGACAAAGACGCAGGGTGAGCATCGATTCTGGCCTCGACCTCGACCCTGGTCCCGCCCACATCTTCTCGCGCATCGCTTGCCCGGTCACCCCTCGCTGACAGCCGTCTTTTCACCCACCGGCCGCGCGGGATAGACATCATGAGGGACGCCTCGGACCCGCAGCTGCTCCAGAACCTCGCCAGGCTGGGCGCAGTAAACGTGCCCAAGCACTCGACAAACTATCAGCCCGTGAGTGGGCCGTCGTCGTCGTCGCCGTTGCCGTCGTCTTTCTCCGCCTCGTCCTCGAATGGATCCGCTGACCATAGGCCTGTCGTCCCTGACGCTCCGCGCCCCGCAGACGGATCAGATGCTGCGCATCCTGGCCGCGCGATCAAAAGCGTCGCTCGACCCGTCGGACCATACGGCCGGCTCCGCGACGACGCCAACTGCTGCCTCTTCGTCCCGCTCGCCCAACGCATCGACAGCGGCATCGGAGCGCGTGTCGGCGACGACGCTCTCGCTCCTCCTCGACGACCGCAAGCACTGCGAGACGCACGCCGACCTCGAGAAGCTGGCCGTCGAGTACGACCTGCCCCTCGCCACCATCCAGCAGCTGGCGCGCCACTTCAACTCGCCCACCATGGGCGACGAGATCCGCGAAGACGAGCGCGAGCGCGAGCGCGACGACACGGCGCCCGCCAAGTTCAAGGCGCTCTGGGTGGAGCCTCAGCTGGGCGCAGCAAAACAGCAGGCCATCGGCCCGTAGCGGCGCGGGCGATGCGAACGATGTGGCGGCGTGGGCCTGGCCGTGGGGCCACAGTCGTCGGCGGTTGGGGTATATGACTGTTGAAACCGCGGCCCTTGCGTCTATCGAGTGCGCTCGGCCTCGCCCCTGCTGCCTATGCGCGTGTGATGTGATGTGAGGTGATGTGAGGTGACGTGAGGTGACGTGAAGCGGGAAAGCACCGCGCGCCCGTGTGCCGCCGCCGCCGGGGCCGCCATCATTGCCGGTCGTCGAGCCCCTTGAGGACTTCCATCATGCCCAGCCTGCCTTTTGCGGCATTGTCGCCAAAGCGGCCAAAGCTCCAGTCCTCGACCTTTCTGGCCGCCGACGCCAGGACGCCCTGGAGGCCCCTGCACTCGATGGTGGCCTTTTGGCGAAAGTCGGTGGCGTGGCCCGTGGCCGAGGGCGTGTAGGTGATGTACTCCTTGACCAGGAGGTACTGCGACAGCGAGAGGCTGCGGGTGAAGTCGGAGAGAGAGAGAGAGGGCGAGGGCGAGGCAGGGAGGGGGAGAGCGTGAGCAGGAGGGTTACGGCGAAGACACAGGCGGAGGTGTCAGAGTGGTGGGTTGCACGAGGGCTCACTTTGTGCTGCTCATCTCGACAGTGTTGGAGATGGGGTCAAGCATGATGACTTCGCGGACGTAGGTCTCTTCGCCTCCGCCGAGGAGCTGCATTGCGGGGCAGGTGCGGGTGTCAGCAGCGCAGTCGATCCTCTTGTTTAGAGAACGGCTCGACTGGGCTCTGCTGCGGCGAGGGCCTTCTCTCACCTTTGCGGCCCACCTGGGAGCGTTCTGCTGAACGCCCAGGATCCTCTCTGTCCTCAGCTTTCCCGTCCGCGGGCAGATGGACTGGTCCAGCACGTCGACCGACCTGACGTGCGTGGCGTGCGGGTTCGGGTACTTGTACCACACTCCTGCGGCGGGGCGTGGGCCGGGGTCCAAGTGGTCAGTCAGCCTCTCTGGCTGCGTCGTCGAGGCGGGGCGGGGCGTCGACGACTTGCACTACCTACCTCTTGCGGTGTGCAGCCAGGGATATGGGAAGCTCGTCTCGCTCGTGAATGTGCGCGGCATGGCGATGTTGGTGGTGTGAGTCTGTGGGTTGTGGCTCGCGGTGGCGGTGGCGGTGGCGGTGGTGGTTGGGATGCGGTCGGATCGAGGAGAGGAGCGTCGCGAAGCCAAGAAGTGAGCGAGAAAGAGAGAAGTGTGGCTTCGAAGGAGCTGCAGAGAAAGGTAGGGTAGGGTGTCAGGTCTGGTTGCTTGGTGGCCTGCCCTGCTGCCTGCCCCTGCGCTGTGCCTGCTGACTTTGACTGGGCCTGCCCTGCCCGGTGGGCTTGGCCTGCCCTGCTGGCCTGCCTCTGACGGCTGCGTGAAAGGAGCGCTCAGAAGTCAAAGTGGAGCTGCCACCAGGTGGTCCGAGAGCGCTAGGCTCAAGCCCCCACCTTGGCAGGCCTGGCCTGTCCTGGCCTGACCTCGTTCGTTTCGCGCGACAAAGAGGCGCCCGCGAGGCCAAGAATGCCCGTCCAATTGCCCGGCGCGCGGGCGGCCGCCGACCCGTGTGTGGGGGACCCCCGCCCGCAGCGCCGCTCTGCTCGCTAGAGGGAGGCCGCTTCTGACTCGCTCCGGCCTGTCTCTTTCCTCCTCCTCCTCCTCCTCCCCCTTCCAAGTGGACCCCCTCGTCGCCGTCGACGCTCTCCCACTCCTCTGCCTCTCTCCATCTCTCTCAGCGCGACAACTGCCCCCTCGCACCCACCAACATGGCCTCCTCGTTCCTCACCACGGGCAAAAAGATTGTAGCGTGAGTAGTGCCTGCCGCGCGCACCCGCTGCCACCGGTCTCGAAGAACGACTGTGCTCAACCAGCCGGTCGCCTCTTTCCTCGTGCACTGCTTCCACCTGGCGCCGCCGCCGCCGCCGCCGCCGCCGCCGGTGCTCGCTCAGCATCGGGCGCAACTACGCCGCGCACGCCAAGGAGCTCAAGAACGCCGTCCCCACCGAGCCCTTTTTTCTTCCTCAAGCCCACCACGTCGTACCTCGTCGCGCCTTCGCCCATCGAGATCCCGCGCGGCGTAGAGGCCCACTACGAGGTCGAGCTCGGCGTCGTCGTCGGCGGCACTCCCGGCCGCCCCATCCGCGACATCCCCGCCGCAGAGGCCATGTCCCACGTCGCCGGCTACACGCTCAGCATCGACATGACGGCGCGCAACGTCCAGGACAAGGTGAAAAAGGCAGGCCTGCCCTGGTCCACGGCCAAAGGGTTCGACACCTTTACCCCCACCTCGGGCTTCATCGACCGCGCAAACGTTCCCGACCCCTCGGACCTCCGCCTCTGGCTCAAGGTCAACGGACAGACAAAGCAGCACGGCACCACGGCCGACATGATCTTTGACATCCCCACCCTCATCCAGCACGTCAGCGGCATCATGAGCCTCGAGGCGGGAGACCTCATCCTCACCGGCACCCCGCAGGGCGTCGGGCAGGTCGTCGACGGCGACCTCATCGAGGCCGGCCTCGAGACCCCCGATGGAAAGTCGCTCGAGCAGATCAAGTTTGAGGTCAAGAACCGCGTCGGAGGCTACCGATTCAAGCTCTGACTGAGGGCGTACTTGTGGGGCTCGATGGAATGTCCTGCGGGCCCTCACTCGTGCTCTCTGACTAGGCGCAATGGTGATTGGCAATTGTCTCGACGCGACGCGACGCGACTCGACTCATCGACTCGACTCGATACGGTTCGATACGGATGGCGGGGCAGGGGCAGCTTACGATGGTCGGAGCCAGAGCGGGAGCGTGACCGTGAGCAGGCACGACATCGCCGTGCGGCGGCGGCCCCGGCTCACTCAGTGATGCTCCTTCCTCTGCTCGGGCCCGGCGCCAAACACGGCGCGCCTCTGCAGCTTGTCGGTCGAGTTGAGGGCGCGGAAGGCGAAAAACGTCGGGAAACCCAGCAAGAGCTGGGTGACGCCCCACTTGAGGGCCGTGAGGCGCGAGGCGCCCTTGTAGCTCGCGTAGAAGAGCATGGCGACGGCCTCGACGACGTGCGCCCGCACGCACGTCAGGATGAAGCCGTCCATGCCCTCGCGGCCGCCGAGCCGCGCGCGCGCCTGGCTCCACTCCGACGCAAACTGCGACGGGAAGCGCGGGTGCGACGCCAGCGTGTCGGAGCGCAGCGCCGCGTACAGGCCGAGCAGGACAAAGAGGATCGACAGACCCGCTTTCGGCGCCTTGTAGATGACCGTTGGCTGCAGCGTGGAGGGAGAGGAGAGCAAGAGAGCGACCGAAAGAGGTAGAGGCATCATGCGCGTCAGTCGGCGAGTCGGTCTGTCGGCGGGCAGCCCTCATGGTCGATGCGAGCCCCGACGAGACCTGCCAGCGCCGCACCGCGCCGACGACGTACCTTGCGGTTCTTGACGACGCGCTCGCTAATCTGGCAGAGCTGGACAAAGCGGGGCCGCACCTCGTCATAGGAGCGGAGGTGCGGGTAAAAGGGCACGTCGATGCGCTTCTTGCCCTCGCGCGCGCTCGGCGTGTATTCGAGCGTGACCTTTTTGGCGTCGATCGAGACCATCTCGACGGCGCTGGCGGCGAGGGGCTTGAGCAGGTCGGCGTGGTGCGTCACGAGGTACGCCAGCGACTCCTGCCTCGTCGGGCGGTCGGGCGAGCGAGAGGGCGGATGGAGGCGGGATAGAGGAAGCGAAGGGGTGAAGGAGTGAGTGGTGGGCTGTGTGTGTGCGCTGAAGATGAGCTCGAGGTGGCGGATGCAGACCCCATCCACACGCCCGCAGCTGGGCAGATGCGGCGAGGTCGAGGGGGCAGGGCAAGACGGGACCACGCAACGCACCTTGTGGCCGTTGTTCATGTACGATGTGACGCCGGCCGACTTCTGGGCAATCTCCTCGGCACCCGATCCTCCGGTTCCCGCTCCCGCTCCAGCGACGGCAGCAGCGGGGGCGGATGGGTCCGAGGGACCGGTGGCGGCCTGGGCGCGGGTCGAGACCATTCTTGTCGGTCGTTTGGCTCTACTCTTCTCCTTTGGCGGTGGCGATTTGTTTCCGGGTCACGGAATCGGAGGGGTCGCGATCGATGTGGCGAGGACGCGGAAAGCCTGTGCGGTCGGAAACAGATGGATGGCGGTGCGGTGAGGCAAGGATGGTGGTGGTGCGGATGAGCGGCAGAGTGAAGCCTCACACGGCAACGGAATGTGGGGTGAGCCCCAGCCTCAGGCCCAGGCCAGCAGGGCCCAACCCCGGGCCGCCAGGCTGCCCGGCCCTCGAAATGCGGAGGTTGGGCCAAAGCGCCCGCCGGTCCCCCTTCTCTCGGCTCCCCTCGACGGCGCCTTGGCTGTCGACGAACGTGAAAAACGAAAAAACGCGAGCCCAGCCAGCCGGACAGCCAGCCAGCCAGCCAGCCCGCCAGCCACCCAAGCCACCCAAGCTCCAACAGGCTGCACAGTCCATCGCAGTGCTACAGGCGCGCGTGCCGTCTCCCTCGGCCTCAGCCTGCCTCGACTGCGCCTGGCAGAGGCAGCGACCGGGGCAAGGCAGGGAACCTGGCGGACTGCACATCTCGCCCGCCCTGGCAAAG